TTTGGGAATGTGCATTCAATTATACTAAAATCTCATTCAAATAGTATATTATTATTATATATTTATTATTTATTATTATATAATAATAATACACGATTACAATTTTTCTAACTTTTTTGTTTTCTTTTTCTTTATGTACAATACATTTTCATCTTCTTACTCACTTATATATAAACCCTCACTTTTCTCTACACCAATATATTATATTCTTCTCTTTATCTCTTCAATTTCATTTTATTAATATGGTGAGTTCCAATTTTATCTTTTCATATTCTTTGTCTTTTACTTCTTATCTTTATATTTTTTATTATTTTATCATTATTAGTTTTCATTATATACATAATATAATGTAATATAATGCGTTAAAATGAAAGAAAATGAATAGATGCTTAAAATTTATGAAAAATAAATGTTTAGGATTGTAATGAATGACATAATCAGTATTTATATGATTACAATTTTTTCTAACCTTTTGGTTTTCTTCTTCTTTATATACAATACCTTTCCATCTTCCTACCCACCTATATATAAACCTTTACTTTTCTCTACACCAATATATTATATTCTCTTCTTCATCTCTTTAATTTCATTTTATTAATATGGTGAGTTCCAATTTTTTTCTTTTTTGTTTCCAATTTCATATTGTATCTAAATATAATATTACGTTTTTATTTTATATATCTTTTTTCACCTTAATATAAAATATGTATATTGTTGTATAAACTACTTTTCTTATTAATCTTATTATTTTTTTATGAATTTTTTTATAGAAGATATGATAATTGTTTTTTTGAAAAAATTTTGTAACTTTATCTATTGAAATTTATGTATTATTTTCTTTTTTTATTATTAATGGTTCAAAATTTTGTTTTTTTTTTGGAATGTGTGGTAAGGACAAAGCTTTATTGAAAGAATTGGAGAAAACGTATGAATTCGATAAATGTTAAGTTATGTGAAAACATTACATTTTTTTTGTAAGATATTATGTTTTTTATTTTATTCATATAATATTATTATTAACATTTTGATTCTTTTAAATATAAATTTTATTTCTCATTCCTTCTAAATTGTTTATATATCCAATATTACTGTCATATATATTTGGAAATGTGCATTCAATTATACTAAAATCTCATTCAAATA